CCCCACCCCACGCCACGCCACGCCATGCCACCCCACCCCACTCCACTCGCGGCCATCGCTACTGTCACCATCGTCCCTTGAGATTCGCCACCATTTCCACCGCCGTTGCCACCATTAATGATTATTGCTGCCGGCCAAAGCTCCCACAAATTATCGCTAATGGTGGCTATGGGGAATACAAAAAGATATGAAAATTTTAGATTCGGCCAAAATTTTGAAACTCAAATCAAACCACAAAATAGCAACTACAGCCATTTGAGAAAAGAATGTAATAAACATTAATTTTTAACTATTCGAGAGTGTAATGGAAAAATTTCAAATTGTATCGTGTGCGAAGTGGAGGAGGTCAGACAATTGGAACTCAACAGAGGGTTTATAATTGGACGGAAGGTGATTGGCAAGAAGCATGTGAGTAAATTGTCGTATAATGAGATCCCACAACAAATTTCCATGGCCTCCATAGAAACACCAGTTCCAGAAGCTGGAAGGATGGTAGTGCCACCATCCGAATCCTCGGGTCTGGAGCCTGAAAAGGCCAAGCTGTCATGTGAAGTCCCGGCCCCAGAATCGAAAAAAGTGGAGCCTCCACGTCAACATATGGATTTTGGTGGCTGGGGCTGGAAGGTGAAAGGTGGGAGAAGAAGAATTTCTTCTTTTTATGCAATAAAAATACCATTTTACCCCTTATACATTGGTCAAAAGAGGTCAATTTCTTTTTAAAAATGGTCAACGGTTAAATGGATGGAAATTATCCATCTAGACTCCAAGCATGAATTTTTACAAGGTTTGATATTGTGTGTGGCATAAATAAAAAGTTCGGGTAAAGTTTGATACTAAATGAAAATTTTGATATCACAGATGCAATTTTCCCTAAAAAAGAAGAAAGTAAGGGTTCGTTTGATTGCAATGGTGGAAAATGGGTTGGAAGAAAATGAATTTCATGGAAAGTAATTGTTTAAAATTTGATTTGCAGGGAATTGTTCATTAAGTGTGTTTGATTGGTATAATTTTTTGGGTGGAAAATTTTTAAATTTTGTGTCTGTTTGGTTTAGTTTTACATGAAAATTGTCCATTAAAGTGATATTATTTTTTACAATTGGTTATAAAATTTGTTTTCATTATCAAAAAGTAAAAAAAAAAACGAAATTTTTTTCATCAAAGTTTAGTATTCGTTTGGCTTTATTTTACATGAAAATTGTCTATTAAAGTGAATTTTTTTTTATAAATAATTATGAAATTTGTTTTCATTGCAAACAAAAATAAAATAAAATAAAATGACAGCAGTCACCTAAAAAAGTTTTTCTCTAAAAACAAGGAAAGAGGGCGCTTGCGGTGTGGGGTTGGAAAATTTTTTCTTGGCCAAATTTCTCCCATCAAACACCGCTTTTGCATGGAAATGAAAAAGTTTTTATTGGTCCAAGTTTCCAATAAAGAGGTTATTTAGAAATAATTAATATTTTTATTTAATATAAGAGAAAAAGTATATCTAAACATATATTGAAAACAAAAAGTCACTTAAATTAGCCGAACAAAGGCTAATTGTAACATGGAAGTGAATAAATATCTCAAATCCGATCGTCACACCATGTATAGCTGACCACACGTGTTTGTTAATGGTAACATCTCCGTAAGTCGCATCATATTAATTTGCTAAAACCTAAAATTCTATTTATTGGAAAAATTAATAATCACGTAAATTCAAACTTTCTTTTCCCACTAGGCTATGGTCCCAAACGTGTAGTTTAGGCAACACCATAGAATTTGGTGAAACAATGGCCCCAATTATTTTGCATTGAGGTACGCTTCTATGGACCTTAATTGACAAAGTTATTATCGATAACGATGTTTTCATAACATTAGAAGTTGAGGGATTGTTCTATTTGTGTTTCAATTTTGTATTTTGAATTTTGTGTTTTGAGTGATCATTTTGAAATTGTTGAAAATGTGTTTTTTTTTTTTTTTTGGCATTTTGAAAACACCCAAAATACGTTTTGAAAATTTTAGTTTGATTATAACTGAAAACACCTCTCGTTTTGAGTTTTCTTTATAAATTTTTAACTTATTTTCAAAAACCCGTTTTTGAAAATAGAAAAAAGAACGCGTTTTCACTATTTTGAAAAATCGAAAATAGAAAACGACTTGAAAATGAAAGGCGGGATAATTTACTAGTCCAAATTGAAGAAATGAACATGTCATTCATGTCAAAATTGAAGTTGCTAAAATAATATCATTGTTGATGCAATAGGCCATTAATCATGCCTATGGAGTGCTTAATAAATCTTATTTTAATAGTAAATATACATTATTTTAATATTTTCTAATGTTCTCTACTGAAGTCGCACGTTATCAATTATTACCAAATCAGTTACCAACAAATACGTAGACAAAGTAATTTTCCATTGTCGTAGATTTTTTCACTTCATACGGTGTTGCCTTTCACCATCATTTCAGCACAAAGAATTCCAAACAAAGATTAGAAGCCACCAAATTGATGCACGTAACAAGTTTGAAAATGAAAAAGAATTTGCCTTCCAATTCAAACAGTACCCCTTAAGACAAAAACACTTCCATGTTTGGTAGTCATTTTTTGGAAAATTATTGTTTTAGCATATGTTGCTCATATTAGA